AATTGAAAATAATTTATCTGGAGATGAGGCAATTATTAAACATGATCAAAACTTTTCACAAGCATAGACAAACAATCCAAAAAATATATATGTTATTCATAATACAGTTAAAAATATTAAAAAGAAAAAAACCCAGTTAGAAAGATTTTGGCATCTATTAATATTTTATTTTTATGGTGAGGGGGTGTAGGCAAATCAAATCTGGTTCAAAAGCTATTTCGGTCAGAGTTGTAACCTAAATCTAAAAAGCAAAAAAATGGATCTTCTTGGTAGAATAGTTATCAAAGTTATTCTATAGTTTTTCTTGATGAATGGTATACATGTGTTGATTGGAATTCTATTATAAAATATTTGAATGACATTCCAGAAAAAGTTGAAATTAAAGGAAAGTTATTTGTTCCCTTCTTAGCTAAATATATTTTCATAACTTCTTGTAAACCTGTAGAAGAAGCTTTTAATTTTGGTCAAAGAAATATGGATAATGAAACATCAACCCAACATAACTGAAAATAGTTTAAATGACAACTTGATTTTATAATTGAATTCAAAGGTGAATAGAATAATAATATTAAAAAATATACAACACAACTCATCTTTTATAAAGGTTTAGAATCTGATTTTTGTGGTATGCTTTGGGATCTCAAATATGACAAATACGAATATACTACTGAAAAACTTAAAAAAATTGTTCAAGAACGTAACAAAGATGAACCAGAAGAAGTTATAATCAAAGATAACCAAATTTATTGGCATCAAATTTTTCCTGAGTATAAAAAACATTATTTATAAGATTATCCATATTGCAAAGAATTATCTAATTATAAATAGCAAATACATGCAAAAATTGAAACAGATGATGAAATAGAACTTGATTATGATTCAGATTTATTACAATTAAAAGATCAACATTTTGAAATTGATAATAATATAGAAATTGAATTATCTAAACCTGATTCTGATGATAGTGAATATACTTCTTGACAAAAAAAAAAGAAAATTTACTTCAGCTCAAAAAAATAATCAAGTAATTAAAAAAAACAAAATTTAATATTAGTCT